TCCTCAGCCCCCCCCCTTTCCTTTCCCCATTATTCGCGTACTAGGTAGCACAAGACGCCCAAACGCATGGCTGCCATATCCTCCGCACAGACTCAGGACACCATCCAGACGCCGAACCCCAGCACGCCCCCCCGCTCCCGCCTTTAAAACGCAAGCGCACCCTCCAACCATCTGAGACCTCGCGCGCCTCCTCACCACCGCCCCCTCGCAAGGCATACCAGACGCAGACGCCAGCGGAGCGTGCGGCACAGGCACAAGTACAGGAGCTCAAGGCGGAACTCGCCAAGGCGCGCGCGGACGCTGCGGCTGCGGTCGCTCTCGCTGCAGAGCGCGAGCCACCCGGACTCGGCGGAAGCGTTGACCGCTTGTTCACGTCCCGTACGTATGCCGCTGCTCCTCCCCCCCACTGTATGCGGACGGGGGTTTGGCTCACATGACTTGATTTGGCATTCATTTGCAGGTTCGGCAGCGCCCGCAGTGCAGCGCCGCCCTGGTGCGTCGCTTGCGAACCCTAACAAGGCGGCACGCAGGGTGACAGCCGTAGAGTTTGCGAGCGATGACGAGGACGCGTAGTAATGTTGTTTATGTGTTGTGGCGGCTGGAGGGGGGGGGGTCAGTTGTTGTAACCGTGGGCAGTGAGAAGGGAGTGTATGAACGCCTGTCTAACTAGTTATGCAGAGCCCAGAAAGAAGCTGTCGAATGTACGTCACCCGTCATTGAGAGGCGTACGTTTAGCATCAACAATCCCAGGGTTGGCACGAGTGTCGCATTTACCACAGGTGGGGTACTGGCAGAGTACGTGGTACGGGTGTGTGGCACTAGGAAAATACTATTTCGGTAGGGTATTGTGCCAATGGGACAGCAGCGCCTACGAGGAAAACGTATGGAGATACTGCACTGCATACGCTATGATCCAGTCCAGGGTTGGTGTCATTCGATGTATTGATAACGCGTTCATAGAAGGGAAGATTGCGCATATAAGTAGCCTTCACTACGAAAAGTCTGATATGTAATACCCGGCTTATCGTCATGATTTGAGATGCACGGTTAGTATATACATAAATTGAGCGGAAGTGCAAACGTTGGAACAGAAAAAGTCGTTGTCTAAGTATGGTACAAGTCGCATACACGAGCAAAAGAAAAAAAGAACCAAGAGCTCCACCACTCAGCGATCAACTTCAAGCAGTGTCGTGGATGGGTATCTCGACGGCATTAGGGAGCGAATCTAGCACGTCCTTGATGGCCTTAGAAGACAGCGCCTTGTCATACACAGGGCTCACACAAGCCGTCCTCTTGCAGCGCGCCGCCCAGCACGCCTGCGCAAGCGGCCACACCTCCAAGCCGCCAAGCACGGTGTCGCCCGCAGGGCGGCGCTCAAGCTCGTACAGCATCGCATGCCTGAGCTCGCGCCACTCGGAATACGATATCGCCTCGCGGCAGCGCGAGCAGCGCGCCCCTGTGGTGTCGCCGAGCTGTGCATCGGTGAGGAAGGGGGGCTCAGCGAGGCGGGCGCGGAACTGCGCGCGGCGATTATGGTGTAGCTCGAATAGCGCGAGGAGGTCTGCGGTGCGGAGGCGGAGGAGCGCAGTGCGGTGCTCGGGCGCGTGGAGGTCGAGTACGAGTGAGCGCGTCGAGGCTGCGCGTGCGTCGTCCGCCCATCCAAAATGGCATGCCGCGGCGTAGAGGCGCAGTGGGGCGTCGGCGAACGCGGGCGTGCGTAGTAGCGCGCGCACGATCGATGCGGGCCCTGGCATGTCGTATTTCTCCGCCGCGTATAGTACTGGCTCTACGGCGTCCCATGTGTCTAGCGTGGCGATCTCTAGCCCGCAGGCCATGCGTAGTAGCGGCTCTAGTGTGCGCGAGTCCTCGTCGAGCGATATCACCTCGGAGTCGGCGGCGGTGGGCGAGTTGAGCGTGCTGTTCCGCGCTGGTGGGGATGCGGAGGTGGATGGGGCTGAGCCTTGTGGGAGGGTGAACATCGCGCGGAACCAGGAGGACGTCATCTTGAGCGTCGTAGAAGGCACGCGGAAGAGGACGCCATCGCGCGAAGCGAGTACGACGTCAGACTCGAAGGAGAATAAGGGATGGTATCTCGGAGCTTCGTCAAGCTCCTGGTCGGTTTGCATCTTGCAGTGACGGACAGGTGATAAGAAGGAAGATTATAGGGAACGTGGTTCAGAATAAGTAGTATACTAAGCGACCGTTGACACGACCTGATACTCCGTAGTAGATGATAGAACGAAGGGTCGGTCTCAGAATCACATAACTTCTGTAACCGTCGGGGCAGAAAACCGACTAGCCACAATTGAACGCTTTCGGAAAAACTTCCCACGCGAGGTCCACAGCTGTCAGAAACTCCACAAAATGTCAATTCCGATATTCAGCAGCCTAAGTACTACATTTGTACTTTCCAATGGTTGAAAGTCCCTAGACTAGCGTCCGAAAAAAAATAAAATCAAACCGTCAATGTTCTCCTACTATGCCCATCCATTTTGAAACAAAACGACTCGAAATAGTAGTACCACGTTACTGCCAGTGTCCGCATGACGCATGATTCGGCATGAAGTATCGTCAAAAAAGTGTCGTGAAAAAAAAAAGGTGTCTTGTCAACAAGGTCATCAGAGAAGGAGAGCCCCGATGAGAGCCGCCCCAAGTGCAACAAGGAAAGTGCTCTTGGCGTGCAGGCGGGCACCAGCTAGCGCTCCGTTCGGTGTATTCGTAGCACCTGCGTTCGACCCCGAGTTTGTCAGGCTGGCAGTGCTCGTGACTGCGGGCGTCTGTAAAGCAGAGTCGGGTAAGCTCAGCGGTGTCGTCGACGGGGAGGCGGTGGTACAGGGGAAGGGGGAGAAAGAGGACCACCTACAGAAAACGCGGACGAGCTGGTCGTGGAGGAGTTCACGCCAGACACGGCGAGGTTGTTCCCGATAGACGACGTCGTGGTACAAGAAGACGTCGCCGGAGCCGCGTGCGGCGGCGGCGTGGCGGGATCGCCCTGGTGGAAAGTCGAACCGCCATACACGCCCATCGGCTGCGAATCGTGCGCTCGTGTCAGGGGAAGGCCTACATACTAAAACAGACAGAGAGAAAGAGAGAGGGCACCTCGCCGGAGTCTCCCGCGCATTTATCGAACCCGGGGCCGTAGTTTCCGGGCATGTTCCAGCCACAGCCCATCACGTCGTAAATGTGCTGGCATAGAGCAGGCGCACGCGGACCGTCCTTGCATCCGCGGAAGCAGAATTCCGTAGCGGACACGAAGTTCTGTCGAGGCGGTGGTCATTACTGGATCGGGACGACTGCATGTGAGGAGGAAGGGGCGACGTACGGTCCATTCGTGCAGCTGGACGACCTGCCCTGTGAATGCTTTGGAGAACACAAGGCCGCCAATGGGGTTGCCTGGATCAATCGGTTATCAGTGAAGCACATGGGACTGTAGGCCATGGGCGCTTTTACCGTTCCCGTCGGCTCCGTGTGGGTCAAGTTCCCCACCCGCATCGCCTGCGGGAACATTTATCTTGGTCAAGTCGCCGAAGCCTAGTAAACCAGAGATGGTTTAGAGCATAGTTAAGATAAAGCGCCACCAGGGAGAGGGAGCCCCGTACCAGTTATCTGTACGTAGTCGGGCGTCTGTACGAAATGGAGCCCCGTGATGGTGCCATCAGGTATAACGCGTGTGCCATAGCCAGACTGCGTCCTAGGGTTAGAGATCCATCCCACGAACGACGGGGCCCGGAACCACCTTCATGCACCACGACACTTCGATCCGCTAAACCCTCAACATCAGCATCGGACTCCCTATCTTAAATAATAATGGTTGCACACCTCTGTGTTCCCAATGACGGATCCGGGGCCGGGATCCGGTGGTGCGTATATGCACCAGTCATCCACCGCGTTAACTAGGTTTAGTTAAAAGTGGGCAAGGAGGGGCATTTTCAGCTGAAGGAAGGGGAGGGGGTTGCATTACGCACTGTAGGCGTTCTGGCACTGCGATGTCTGGTTGTATCCTGTCCCGCACTGGTTCGTGCCTGTCTGTCCTTGTTCGGAGTGTTGAGGGGCATTTGATGGCAGATAAGTGGCAGAATAGGTCTGCGCGCGGACGCCCAGCAGGGACAGGGCCAAGATCACAAAGACGGGGAGAGGTGCCATTTTGAGGGAGGAGGGCTCCGATCTGAAGCCAGACAGGTTGGGGAGGTGGTGGGGGGGAACGGACTGAGACTGCCCCAGCGGGACGTCTACGATATCATGTAAATCGCGTGAGAATGAGACCCATACTAGTATTCATTGGCTTTCCGGTATGTCAATCATGTTTTTGTGCATGTGTTCCCCTCGTGCACAAACGTATGCTTACCTGACGCCGCCCCTGGAGAAGCCCCTCCTGCCATTCCGGGGTCTGGGCTCGGGGAAAGTGTAGCCGCGAACAGCCGACAGCTTAATTAATAAGCGTTGGACGTTGAGCGCTGAGCTTGCGATGATAAACCGGAAGCAACTCGCACCACTCTTATCCCATCCGACGATTAATTACTGTAGTGAGACGAGTAGCTTTGTACTCGGATGGATGGGGGGTGGCACAAATAGCACAGAACCGACAATGGCGTCGGGCGTGGCCATTCGATTGATCGGTGACTCCGGCGCAGGGCTAGGTTACATTTAGCTCGATTACTGTTGGAACTGTTGCTCTGGCCTGTCACGAGCTTTGATAGTGACATCCGGTTTTGACCGTGCTCCTGCGCTTCTCCATTTGGAAAGCAGGGAGCTTGTCTTTCTGGCTCCATTTTCGGGAAATCTGAAGGTCCTTCTGGGTGGGATTGTGGGTGCACCTTATCCCGATAAGGAGGGATCCGCGTTATTCCCGCTGGTTGTCAGTCAGATGGATAGCGAATATCACTCATCAGTTGGTACTGTAGAGAAAAAAGTCGAAGGACTGCTACATCCGTATGGGGCGCAAATGCGATGCCTGAGCGTAGAAGGGGCCCGAGTGCAAAATTGTCGCGATGCCAACAAGATGTCCCTGGCCGGATTCGAGCCGGCGGCTTGACGGTTCTGTGGGAAAGGATCCACAACGTCATGATTTAACCACTAATCGACAGGGACGCATCGTTCCTGTTAGGAAGAACTACACAATTCCATGGTATAAGTGCGACTTGGGCACAGGGAAAGGGTGAAGCATTGGGCTCTGATGAAAGTATATGTTACGAATACGAGTGTAGTACGAAGCGGCGCAGACCTTCTCTTATTGTAAATGGCGGCTATTACACAAAACCCACGAGACCCCGAACATGGCATAATACATGGGAAATAAGAATCAATCTTCTTGCACTCCCGTCATAAATACGATCATCTATTCAAGCAAGCCCCTCACCACGCAGGACTGGGTCCATCTACCTCCCAAAGAAGCCAGTGAAAGGGCCAAGCGTATAATCCCGACGCCCTCCGCTACGCCCGCGCGACGGTGGCTGCACAGGTGGCGGTGGCGGCTGCGGCCTCTGCGGGCTGGACTCGCCGCGAGATTCGGCAGCAAGGCGTACGAGGCGCTTGAGGGAGAAGTTCTGAACGGGAGGGTAGCGCACAGGATGCCGACAGGAGGGGCAGGTATATGCGGGGAGGCCACGCGCGCCGTTTTGCATATGTTGGCTTAGGGTTGTGTTAAACCAGTCTGTGAGACAGCCCTGGCAGAAGGTGTGCCCGCAGTTGGCTAAACTGTGCAGAGTTCAACATGGTTCCGATCCGGTGGCTGGGTGGGCACGGGACGTACAGGTAGGGCGACCACATGGTGTGGGTGCATACCTCACAGGAGAGGGCTTCGTCAAGCGCTGACATGCTCAACTACGTTCGGGTGAGAATGTGTAGTGACCAAGAGGAGAGATACAAACTGACAGTATTCTGCTTTGTGCTTGCCTTGAGCTGGTCCATGGAGGCTAACAGGCGTCTGTTGTCCCTCTGTAGCCTATCGCGTTCCTAGGAGTCGAGAAAAAGATGACATAAAACAATCAATAGAAGTCCGGGCTGTACGGAACGAGTATATACCTGTTCAAGTTCGTGGCATCGTCGTTGCAGGCCATCTGTCTCGAGGTGTTCATGCTTTGAAGGCTTTTCTTCCAATATTTCAAGAATTTCTTCTCGTTTGGAACGCTTGGGTTTCCGTGAAGTGCGTTTAGGCGCTGGTCTGTGTTCGTCTTCCTCGTCGGATGAGATGACGATGACTGGAATCTTGTAGGGGCCTTGTGTCTGGGGACGGATGGTCGTCGAGGGACTGCGATGGGCCGGCATCGGTGTAGTGATGGGGTTTGAGGGAGCTAGGATTGAGGCTGGTTGGGAGTAAACGGGGACCCGAATTGGTGTGGATGACGGTATCTTCAGTTCCGTTCGGGTTAAAAGCAATTGAGTTTGTGCGTGAGAGCCAGTTCTGGCAAACAGGCGAACACGGTTGTCGAACAAAACCTGGGCAATTTGCTCCACCGGGCCGATGAGTTGGAACTGCCCACGTGCCGTATTCGCCACCACAGCCAACCCAATGGCACGCGAATCCTTCTTAAATTAATCAAATCACTGCCAACGACGCACAGCTACTTCACGCAAGACAACTACAGTAGCATACAGTACACAGAGTATGCGACACTGCAATCGCCTAACTGGCAACATCGTTCACAAGTACAAAAAGCCCGCCTGATCAGGTAAGCGTCTTGTTCATTGTCTTCCTTATTAATGAGTCAAATATCGATTTTCAAACCCAGTTCTCCCGAGTGACGAGCTCGAATTGTGGAAAGGAAGGTCGAAAAAGCGAGATGGTGGCTCAATGCCACGCGTCTATTTCAACAATAGCTGGTCGGTCGCGACGTGTCCAGTGTCCAGTTGGTATTCTTTCGGCTGTCGTTTCAACCGACCAACACGAGTACAGTATCCACGTCATGCGTTGATGGGATGTCCAAAATTGGCCCTCGAACCTCCTTGCTTTCGGCCACGCCACTTGTGGTTGCCTTCCGTCTCTGTTCGCTTGGCCCGCCACAATGTCGCTTTGACCATGTTGCTTTGGGTCGGTAAATTGTGAGGCCCATTATTTAAAGAGCTGCCTCTTCACATTGTGTTAACCTCCCAAACGCAGTCGCTGGCATGCTTGCCGTCTTGTGCTCTGCTCCCCGTCCGCCGTTGGGCGTGGCTCTCCTCGGCCTCACCATAGTAATGTTGAGTTGGATTCTCTACCTGCTTCCCTATATCATGTTCTGCGGTATGATTACGCTGTCGGTTTGGCCACCTTCGCATTCCTCCCCGCCTGACGTGATGTACTATCCCGTCGATGGGCACCCCAACCAAGTTCACATGGTGTACACTCACGTCGGTTCCCAATCTTCAAAGGAAGCCATGTCATTCGAACTAAACGCAGAGCTCCGGATCCTCATTTTCCTGCTCGCCCTCCCGCTCACATCTGTAGTCGAAAACGCTTTCTTCCGTCCTGCTCGTAACATTTTCCTCCGAACAATCGGGTGCTGGTTCGACATGCGCTACGTGCATCCCGCCCAAATGACGGGCTCCTGGCCGGACACCTGGACCCCCATCTTTAATGCGCTTCGCTCGTATGAGTTCGTGGCAGATTTCATAGACGGCGCAACGGGCCGGAATTCTGGTGAGTCTTTACCTGGACTAGTGAATCCGCGCTCAGTATCTAGCCTCTGTAGGCCCGAGCCTGGCCCATACGGCAGAGGCACAGACCTCTGGTCCGTTTGGTGACTCCCACTCGATGGCGCAACCCGCTGAGCAGAGAGCGCCATCCCGCCAATGCAAGCGAGTCTCAAGTCCTGACCCCATCGATCACAGTAAACTTGAATGGTGAGCCCGCCGTCTTCTTGGTATGACACTGTCTTATCCAGTCACAGCGCTACAAACGCGCCTCGTCCGAGGAAGACATTCGTCTCGCGTCCCCACGTTTCGCCGCAGTCGCCTTGGAAAGCTAATGGCTTAGGGTATGTCCGTCACCTTGCCTCTCCACGGGCGTTGACTCCCTAATAGAGGGATTTCTCCTGTCTCGAAGAACCTCTCTCGTATTGTAGGGACCCTTTTTCACCATCCACCCCCACGCAAGCCCGTCATACGTTGCCGGATCAACCTCATGACTAAAGTATCTTCCACCCACGTGCCGCCCCACGTTTTGGAACGCTTATGGAGTAAAAATGAAGACCATATTGCGCCTGCGTGGGCATCCGTGTCCTCTCTCGGGGCAGCAATCCGCAACTCTCAGCTCCCTTGGCATGATGGCGCCAAATTGCTACGTTCTGCGTGGGACCATCTCTCTGACCACGTTGTCGCAGGGGTACCAGAGCCAGGTGAACATGTTGCGGGAGGACCGATTCCGCTTTCTATGGGCTCTCGATTCCTCCCCGGAACGTGCGAACCCCTAGCTATCGAGCACACACAATTTGAGCAACGGCAAGGCTGGGTATATGCGCGTTCCCCTGTTACGTCGCAACCCTTCCCAAAATCTCCAGTCCAGACTTTGCCGCAGGACTTCGTCTCTGACTGGCAAGAGGAACTGTACCTCCAGCCCTGGTCTATGCAGACACCTGTTCACCATCGATTCCCATACCAAGACCAACACATTACCACCCCACCCGTTTACAGGCAGCAGGAGCTGGACCGTCAGTCGATCCATGGCTTTCCATCCAGACTAGACTCGATGGCCTTTGCGCAGCACAGATCGCACGTGTATTCAGACGTCCCGGAACGGTCGATGGCTGACCAGGAGCATCGCGCGTCTTTGGCCCCGGTCATAGAATCACCTCTGCCCCCATTTTTGTCGCTCCCTGTCGCTCCACAGGAGCAATTTACCTTCCACTTGCTCGACCACGTCCCGCTCTTCCAGTTCTCCGAGGACGCACCGCAATTAGACCATAGTCCCCCAAGTGCCTCACTCGCAGGTCCCGAGACACCTAAAATGGTTCGCACCTCTGACAGATACGCTACCACTGCGGTATTTGTGCCCTGCACGGCCTCCCAGGACGAATCCTCGCACTCATCGTCTCGGCATGTGCCCTTTGACGCGCCACGTGAAACGGTGTGGTCTAATTACCACCATCAATCGCCCACTGTTACATCGCCTGTCTTACAACCATGTCACATAGCGCAGCCGTTCTGGGGTCTCAGGGTTACCGGAACGTTCGCATTCGACGTCTCCCGAGTGGTCCCTTACTTTGACTTTTCACATCACGTCCCGCCGCCGCCGCCGCCACAGCCCGACGGAATCGAGCTCGATGTTATCCCGCAAGTGACCACTGCTACGTCCTTTCCAAGTAACCCACAGGAGGTGAACGATGCTTGGCCACCAATCTCTGCGAGCAGACAATACCCACTTCGGCAGTTGTCGTTTGACCAGGGTGTTCAGATACAACAGGCTCTTCGTGATCCCGCTTCTCAGCCGCAAGAGGTCGTGTCTAATCCCCTTCCTCATCAACCTTTTGCTCCTGCGGAACAGGCAGGCTCGGCGACAGGCGATACCGCGACGCCAGATGCTGAGTTGAATACCACGGGCGCCAAAATGGCCGTAGACAGCGACGACGGTGACGATAGCAGCTCAGACTCAGACTCCTCCTATTCTTCCAACACGGACGCGGACTCGGACACGGACATGGACTCTGATTCCGATTCATCTTCATCTGACGATGGTAGCGATTCTGATTCTGATTCTGATTCTGATTCCACTGAAGATGAAAATGATGCCGTCGCAACTGAGACCGTTTGCAAGACCTCCTGCCGTGCTCCAGACGTGTCGTCCAAAGCTCAGGATGACGTGCAGGTTGTCCCTCCTAACAACGGCACCTCCGCCCCTGTCGCCGCCAAGGAGGACAGGGCTGATTCAGACTCAGACTCAGACTCCGATGGGTACTCCAAACACATCCCTACATCTGCACCACCACCTGGCGCGTCCAACGACGATTCTTCATCATCCGATGAGGACATGAGTGATCACGAAGAAGAGGATCGGCTGTACTGGGAAATGTTTTATACGCCGCGACACCGGAGACAACCTGATGTATCGGTATCGGTATGAGGATTTTGATGGAGATGGAGATGGGGTGCTTTTTACTTTCTTGCACCCGTAACAC